TTACCTGTGTCTAATCCAGACAAAAAGAACAAGAGATGAAAATAGCTTTTATTAGTATGATATATATTCTCTAGCCACAACATTTGGATCCTTAACATTTAGAATGACAATTAAGAAATGGTGGATACTAAACTGCTGTTAATCAATAGCATACAGGAATACAAGTGTAGAATTTCTCAAGCCTAAATAGGATACCAATTTTTTTAGTAATTGAACTTTAGTAAAGAACATCCTACCATTTACTGCAGAAGTAAGCTCCACTTCATTCTTAGCAACTGTATTCCCACGCCCATCATAAGCTAGCCTTCTGCTCTTGAGCATTAGAGGATAGCCAAATAAGTCACCTGCCTTCCTGGCACCTTCTAGATTATCAATCTGTATCAGTCACACTTCAATACCAGTTAACTAGAACATATGAAGCTAATAATAGGTAATGAAAACTGTAGGTAGCATCCTCAAGGGAAATACTTATAAACAGCAACCAACCTGCATAAAATCAGGAAGGGGAATCCCATGCCGAGAAAAATGAACCTTCTGGAGATATTTATCCTGCAAGATTGAAAACAAGGATCCAGCATGAAATTTCATCATGAAGCCAAAATCGTTTTTGGTTTTGAAGTCAAATCAAAATTCCTTACAAAGTAGTACAAAGTAAGTCTAAATGCCAAAGTAGCATATGGTTTGCAAAATAGCATAACCAGTTAACTCTGAAAATTAAAAGGGGCATACTTGGATAATTCTAATTGTAGAAGCTTTTGGTTGGCAATCAACTCCTTGCTGCTCAAGCTTCTCCATCGTAGCGACATCAACATGTTCAATATCCACAGTCAACACTGCACATCTACAACACCACAATGACAAAATTAAATACAAAAGGACACAAAATCTCCAATACCCACAACTGAATTCCATCAATACCGAACCTTTTGGCGAATTCCTGAGCCGTTGCACTATCATTAAAGCTTCCAACCATATGATCATATGCAATCGAACTCGCTGGACAATTCACAAGTGGGTCCAAAACCATGACTTTAATAGCCATTTCTGAAGCTGCTTGGCAAAACATACGGCTCAATTGCCCACCTCCCAATACACCAACAATCACCTCGGACACTCCATGAACTGGCAAGTAATCTTTCCTAAATTCACCACATTAAACAATCTAATCACTCAGCTCCAACAAGATACTAACCAAGACAGGTATTTATTTTGATATTTATTTTCTATCAAAAAATCTATCAGGCACTATATAATAAAACCAAAAGGCAATGAAAACACAAACTTGAACAAGACATGCAAAAAATCCATCTGGGTACTGATAAAATGCAAAAAATAATAAATAAAAAATGGTGTACGGGCAGGAACCTGAAAGAAGTATCGTTAGTGTCAGTTGATGCTTGACAAGCTAAGACTGGACTTTGGTATTGTTTGAGAGACTGTTTTAGCGAAGAGGAAGAAGAGAAGGAGTTGGTGTGCTTGTCCATGAAAAATAATCTTGTTGAAGAGGAAGAACAAGGCTTGAAACAAAAATCAGATTTTGAAAACACTACAAGTCTTGGCACTGAGGTTGTCTGTTGCAGAAGCATCTTCCTTGTACCTGAGGCGGCTTTTGTGTTAGGGGTTTTGTCTCTACTGTAACTAGTACTTCATAGGTTTCTTTCTTTCGTTCCTTTTTTTTTTTTTAAGTATTTTTTTATTTAAAAATATATAAAGATAATATATTTTTTAAACTTATTTTTAATATAAACGCATTAAAAAAATATAAAATTGTAAAATAAAATAAAAAATTTAAATATTTTCAAAAAACATTTTAAAAAAATAAACACTTTTCATATAAAACTTGTGTTGTTATGAGCTTGAAACAATTAATTCAACATGAACTATATCCTTTTTAATATTTTGGAATATAATAACATATTAATAGGTATTATATTTAATTTTTAAATATAAATTAATTAATTATTAAATTAATAATAAATTAATTTTTTAATTTTATTTTATTAAAAATTATAGTTTATATTTGAATCAACATATTAAGAAATCTAATTGGTTACATAAATGAAAATCATTGGTTATAAATTAAAATGAAATGATTAATCAAATATGACTTAATTATAAATAAATTTTCACAATTAAGAACTATAATGTAATTTAAACATGGAATTACAATTCTAAATCTAGAAAAATTAATTAGAGACTTGATTAATTACATTTCTAAAACTATCCTAAAATAATATACTTAAATAATATATTATTTAAGGAAAAGAATTAATATTTTATTATTTATAAAATTTTTAAATTTTTTTATAAATAAAATATTATAACTCTTATTTCTTATGAGAAGTGATGTAAAGCTGAGAAATGTAAACATATCTAAAAACATAAAAGAAAAAAGTTAGTCCTCTACATTATAACAATTTCCTTTTTCTAAAATGATTTAAAATATTTTTTATTAATAGTTTATATAAATTATTGATAAATATTAAATATTTTAATAACTTATAGTTTATGACAATTTAGTTTTTAAGTAATCATGCAAAGCTAAAAAGAAAATTTGATCTCTAACCTTAAACAACACTAAATTTACCTGATTTTTCTTTTTAACTCTTAAAAAATTTTAAATTTATTATTTTTTTTTGGCATTAATATATTCCAATGAACCCAGCATTTATTGCCTTCCCTTCAAATATTTCTACCCCGTTTTGTTAAGCACTTTTATTGGACTGCAGGCCGGTCTAGATGCCTTCGAGGAAAGAATCAACATTCTTCAACACACTGGAAATCTTTCAATGCCATGATCAACAACATAGAATTGCCCAGCCCCTTTGTAATTTCGACTGTTGATCACACCTAATTCCATCTCTCCTCTCCCTATTATCGTCAAACACAAATCTTACAGGAACAACAGCTAATTTATCGAGCATCACTGTTTGAAGAGTAATTTGATGTCATACTAAGAGCAATTTGATTTCATGCTCGTGGTTTTAGATGTTTTTCTGAAGATGGAGTTTAATCTGGAAGTTGGCAAAGATGCATTTATCTTGCAATTCTTGGAATTGGATCTTCAGGTTTTCTCGCTTATATTTTCAGCATGCAATTCTATCCAAGTTTCCTTCTGTTTCCTCATTCATATTACTGATCTTGGTATCTGTGGTTTATTATTCATCTTCAGTCATCCATCCATCTCTGTTTTCAGTGATGGTTGACAGCATTTCAATTTCAATCGGAACAACGCACAAACATACCATCATCTCAGCTGTACCTTGAACAATGACAAGGTTGTATGCACATGCGAACAATACAGTCTAATCTACTTGCCCTCCACACAATCTTCCTTGTTATATATAGATACAGTTCCTTTCACATCTCACTACATCTTCAGCAAAGACAGACGAGGGTAGTGTGTCGTAACAGAAGAACACTGCTTGATCTCCTAAACTACCCAGCTCAATCCATTTATGCTCTTCGTCATTCAGCTTATAAAGTTATGGCACCGAAGATCTTTTATAGCGTGCCATTGCAGAAGAATCTGCGTTGTTATTAGCATTCGGAGAACTTTGATTGCCATTAAGACTCTTGAAAAAAGAAATTTTTTCAAAACTCATGGCGAGATGGATGCACTCGTGGGTTCTTTCCTGCCTTGTGAAACTACAAACCCGGGAAGTTTGAGATTATCATATGGATGCTTTGCAGGAAACCTATCAAAGGAAGACCGCCATGACTTGCAGGTATCACGGAATCGGAACAAATCAATGCAAGTTTCTAGACATGCATGCTGCTACATCTACCAAAAGTTGTTTTGGGAGATCAGTCCAGGGGACTCTAACTAGCTCTTCCCTAGTTTTTGCCACAAATTGAACATAAAAATAAATAAATTAGAAAACCCTTTCAAGTTTGCTCTGTCTCTTTTTCTGTCCCCGTAATTTAGGGTTTGTTTTGGATCACCATGCCTTGAGACAGTGATCATACCAAAATTCTAGAAGGCTTGTCGAAATCATTGTGTGCATAGTCGGAAAAAACTATTCATTATTCATTATTATAGTAAAATTATTTTTTTATCCTCGAAAGAAAAATTGAGATGTCCCAGACATATACAACTTTTTCAACTTTTAAAATAATAAAATGACTTAATTATTCTAAATTCAAAAGAATTTATAAGTGTTGAGCAAAGATATCTCTATTTATTCCATTATTAACAAACAATAAAAAAATATTTTTGATCTTATATTTAAGAAAAATTAGTTATATCTTTAGGGGTTTTTTCATTCTTTCAATATTTTTTTGTTAATACAAAATTAATAGAGAGCATTTTAATCTTTTTATTTTGCATAATTAATAAAAAAATTATTGATATATATTGTCTATGAGCTAACCCCTGTCAATGACCAAACTTGTGTTTTCATCGTGTTCGAAGCACCACTTTTCTTTTTAGTGCAGCACATGTTGGTGAAAGTATGATAATTGTTTTTTTTTTTTATTCAAAAAAATAGTTTGATTTTTTTTATTTTTTATATTTCAATTTCAGTTCTTATTGTTTTGGTTTCTAAATTTTTTTGGTTCTTTTATAAAAAAAATTTTGTTTTTTATTTTTAATTTCAGATCTTAATATACTATTCAAGTTCTTTAAATCTGACATGTTCGTCATGCTTATATTATCTTGCAGATTTATGTTATCTTGAATTTGAGTAATTATCAAATTTAAATTCTTTAGATTTGTTCTGTTTTCCAAACTTATATTATTTTCAAGTTACTTGATTATAAATCTTAAATATTTTAGGTTGATAAACATATTTTATTTAAGAGGATTTTTATAAATAAAAATCTTAACAAAAAAAAAATCTCATCAAGATCACTTCTCCTTTCAAATTTACAAATACATAGTGTTGGCTTATTGATTTTTCACTTTTGTAATATTTGGATGGTCAAGTTTAATATACAAACACAAAGATAAACTATTGTACTACAATGCATTCACTAATCACACTCAGAACCTGAAAAAATAAAGAAGAAAACCCCCTCCAAACGCAGGTCTGAAGGGGGCAAGGAAAATGGTATTAATATCACTGAATTTGTGATGACTGCAAGCCAAGGAATAGTGAGGGATGACACCATTTGATATTCAATCCTATGGTTTCTGTCCAAAGAGAAAACGAACAAGCTTGTGATACTGTACACTTGATTGCAATCTTCATTGCCAGGTTTGGCAAATTTTCTATACTTTCCTGCGCATCAATGTCTTTTTGCATAACGAAGCACCTGATAAATTAAAGCACGAAACCATGAATGAACTGCATAATCAAAAGAACCTTGAGAAATTCTGAATCAAATGTCTCTAACGCAAAGAAAGAATGCATTGAAGTACCCACATTTGTCATGGTTTTTATACAACAGCCTTAAGCAGTGATTTGCTCCGGCTCCCTTTTCGGTAACCCGATCTTTCGTATTTCTTTCAGGTGAGAAGCTATCTCCTTAATAAAATGAAGCCCTTCCTCATCATATCTGATTGAGTTAACGATGTGCTCCAGTAAATTCCGGTCTGCCTCAAGAGCTTCCAACCTCTCACTTATATCAGAAACTTCATTCACGAGAGAGTCTAGATCAATTTCTCGAGGGGGCATAGGAGAGCTTTCCCCGCTATAAAAAACCTCATTGTTCTCGTTACCATTGAAAAATTTCTCAAGTGCAGAAACATGTCCTTGAACAGGCTCGCTTCTTCTATCAGTCACTGATAATTCATTATTTTCTGCCCCAATGTTCTGTTCGACACCCACTTTGTTATTCAGCTCCCTCAAGTCATTTCCTTTTTCTCCTTCAGAATGTTCACCGTTGATCAAGTCTAAGCTTAGCCCATTGTTAGATAACAGATAAAGCTTCCTTTTCAACCTCTTCAAACTTTGTGTAATATATGACCTTTCATCTTCAAACTCTAACAAAGAACTATTCACAGTAACGATATTCTTACCCCCAAGTGACATATTCGTTGCTTCAACTTTATGACAGACATTAGGTTTTTCTGTAACCGAGTTTCTATCGGTGGTTGTGCTATCTTCTATCCAGCCAGCTTCTGAATGATCCACACTTGAACCTGTTTCCTTTCTATCAGAAATCGGTGTCTGAAAGATTGATTCATCGGGGAACTTACTCCTATAAAACTCAAGCTCCTCTTCTAGATCTTGGACCTCTTTCTCCTTCTCTGTGAGAAGGTCATTCTTTTTTTGCAGGGCCTCCTTATCATACTCAGATTGCTCCTCCATCATTCTTAGGTATTGCAGAGCTTCCATGTGGAGTGTTGCCTTCTCCTCCTGTAGTCTAGTAATCATGGCCATAGCTTGATTTGCAGCAATTGTGGATGCATTCCTTTCTTCCTCCAATTCCTTGTACAATGCACTCAGCAGTTTTTTATCATGCTCAACCTGCCGTTTTAACCGATCAACGGCACTTTCACCTTCAATTTCACTGACAATACTTCCATCCAAAGATAGGCAAGATTCATTTCTTTCAAGTGTGATTCGCTTTTGAAGAATATGCATTCCTAAGACACTAGAAGCATCAGAAGTCCTCAATTCATCACTGTTTGATGATAATTTAGGACTAAGAGGGACTCTAGGACTCATAGCATTCATTGACTGGTCTCTAGAAGTGGAGAGCTGTGAAAGTAAAAGCTTCAACTCTTCGCTAAATCTTGAAGAATCCTTCCCAATCCTTTTTTCAGCAAGAACACCAGACAACTGCCTTCCCCTATTGCCAACAGCTAGCTTATAAGCATCACTGAGATCCGTTAAGTTTACAAATTGCTGACCATTTTCATCTGAAATAGGGTTTATTTCTGAAGCTGTGTCAGTTCTTCTAGCTGGCTGACTTTCTGCCTTGCTGAGATCCTCACAATCCATAACATATGCCTGCCAATCTTCCACTTCTCTGGCTATACCTGTGGAATGCAACAATTAAGTATGAGAAGGTAACCAAATATGAATTAGCATCATTCACAATAATTTGGGCTTGCTTTGTAGCCCCTACATAATAAAATTATTCAATCTCAAATTCCATCACCCTAAAAGAGTTTGCTTCAAGTTCAAGTTCTCCCTGGGGTGTACCGCATAATTCTAAAACATGTTAAGCATTTGAATGTGTAGATGATATTTCCCGGATATCCTTAATATGTATTGGGTGCAGCTCAAACGCTATTTTATTACTTAAGAAAAAGAACTGCTATATACTAAGGCATGTGTGTCATATTTGTATTCTATACAATTATATACTAGAAAGGAGCTTTTTCTTCTTTTCCGTTTTTATTATCCCAGTGCATCCTTTGTTTATAAAAGAAACACCAACACAATTTTGTAGGAGGAGCTTGAACTTACATCTCTCTTTCAATCCTTGAACAGGAGTTTCTGCTCCATTTGATGACGGAAGGAAATCAGCAAGAGAAATAAGCTTTCTCTCATCTGAAATTTTGACAGGATTCTCTCTCCATTTTGATGATGGATGAACAATGTTCACCGAAATAATCTTGCTTTCTTTCGATGCTTCCAATGGAGTTTCTTTGGCATATGATGATCGAGGAACTTCGTCTAGAGAAATATGCTTTCTTCCTTTTGACGGTTTTCGAGGGCTGTCTCTGGAAATTGATGGTGGAGGAAGTTTATCATGGGAAATGAACTCAGGAAGTGCAAAGGAATTAGCCTTCCAATCAGCTTGTTGCCATTTAAGCTCTTCCAAATCATGCCCAATAGGAAATGCAGATGCCGTTGCTGTAACGTTGTGGGACTGGATAACATCTGATAGCACCTTCGAGGTCAAAATTGATGGCTCAGGTGCAGAGACCGGATCAATCAGTTTCTCTGAGGCAGAATCATCGACTAAAATGATAGTGCGAGGCTCTGGCTGCACGTATCCAACTGAAATACCTTTGCGAGTTGCAGCATTTGCACCACCATCATCAGAAAAATACATGACTTCAGATTCAGTATCAGAAACGAACTTGAGTTCAGTGTAACCTACATGAGATAAAGGATCAAACCCACTAGTTTTCCGGCGGGTGCTTCTGATGGATGTAGATCTTTTACTTTTCTTTATGTTACTGCAATCATGTTTAATGGTACCCGGCAAAGGGACATCAAGGTTAGCAGCCCCAGAACCAACAGATGCAGCCCGCATCAAGTTTCGGAAATATCCTCTCGGAATCCATGGTTCATTGCAACAAGAACATAGTCTCGCAACTGAACTATGCTCATCAAGTAGCGGGTCCTCATCTAAACCAAAGCTAGAATCCTCCCCCAACTTCCCAACCAACAATCTATATGTTTCAGCATTGGACTTATTGGTGGTGGCAAATGAGAAAAGGCAATTTTCACACATTCCATGGACATCGACGAGATTGTTGTGAGCATGACAGAAAACCAGGGATGAGACCTCCAACTTATGATTGCCACAGATCAAATCCCAATAATATCTCAACTTTCTAGAGCCCAGAATATGATCCAGTCTTGAGCATAGCAAACATGGGGTTTGCAATTCCCAATGACATGCAAATCTTGTAATTAAATATGAGAAAATAGCATTGGTGAAGAGCATACACATTAGCAACCATTCCAAAACAGCAGATGCCAAAGCAGTGCTGATACTCCAGGACTTTTTCTTTGATTGAATAGACGAAACCCCACTGGCAGCCATGCTCCAGCAGGATTAAAAAATTTCAGAATGGGATATTGATTAATCGAAGGAATAGAAACTCCAACCCTCCTGAAATGTTCAACAATCCGGAGCAAGATTCAACACTGTAATAAACCTGAAGAATATTGGAGACCTGAAACTAAAAAAATAAAAAGAGTATAAGCACTTGCTTTTTTTCATTATTAAAAAGAGAAAACATACATGAAGCCACATGAAGTCCTGCATACAGTGCAACAAGCAGATATTAAAAAAATAATACTGAAACAAGAATATGTAAAAGAAATCCTCTCCGATAAAAAACACTCATTTCACTTGAAAGGAGCTATGAATATTAGAACCCTGTTGTCTGTTCAACATCAGAAGTCAATAACAAGATGTGACTAAAACCTGGAAGAGAGCAAGAGATTAAATGAACACTTGCCAAATGCAACATGACATATAATCTAGATTAGAAATTAAACATAGATGCATTTCCAATACGGAAAAACACCACAAATTCTCGACATACAGGATCGATTAAACGCTAGCAAACAAAATTCTGAAACTTGAGCAATGACTGGACACATTTATCGTGAGATGTGACACAGTTAGCCGTGAAAAAGACAGCATATACCTCCGCCTCAGAAGATAACTAGAAAATCATTACAAGTAAATGCAAACTCAGTGCTCCAAGAACGTCGTGGACATGTTTCCACATCAGAAGCTTGCAGAGCAAATTCTATTTCATGATAAAAATTTTAATCTGACTCCGAATCCAATTCCAACTTCTTTTCCTTCTTTTGATAATTTGGGAGAAAGTTATAAATCGATCAAAGCAAATATAAATGTGCAGCCAAAGCTTGACAAGAATAGACAGAACTCAGAGGACAAGACAATAGCTGCATCAGGATACGGAAAAACATGGAAAAAGCCCCGGTGACGTGATAAGCCAGAGCTAACAGGTCAACATTTGAATAAAGGAAAACCTCCCCATTTTCACAGTATCAACAACCACAAAACCCCATTTAGAACCCAAATTAGGAGCTTACTATTAAAAAAATGCATTTTAGCCAAAATTAGAAACTGAAAATGGAAGTACCAACAGATAGCCAAAGCTTCGAAGCCAAAAAAGTTAAAAACAAAAACGATTACAAAACTAGAATTGAATTAGAGGATGAATTTCAGAAATTAAAAGCCATTAAAGAAAATAATATAAATTTCAACCTTACTTCACCATTTAAACTTTTAAATTAGAATCATTATTTAGTATGATATTAGAGTTTTAATAACCAAATAATTATAAGTTTAAATCTCATTATTTTTATTTATTTGATAGAATTTAAACACAAAATAATATAAATTTATAAAATTTAAGTTCAAAATTAAAAAAATATATTAAAAAATAATATAAATTATATTTTAAAACTTTATTTACCTATTTATCTATTTAAGTGTTGAGGCTAAAATGTTTCTTCGTTAAAAATTAACATTTATAGCTGAAGAAAACACAAAACAAAACCCGAATTCAAAACTAATACTATTAACAAAGAAAAACATAACATTAAATTCTTTATCAAAACTAGACGAAGAAGAAGAAGAAATATATAAATAAAAAGGTCAAAGTCGAACAGACTGACCTGTGCAGGTAAAGAATCCTAGAAACCACCAAGAATTCAGAGCCAGAGTCACAAGTCAAAGTGATCCATCTTCACGTCTAAGACAATCAACAAATCCCATGTAGCTGTTATCTCAGTATTTAAAAAAAAAAAAAAACAGACAGGAATGTACAAATAGAGCGAGAGATTCAAACAGAACAAAACAAAAACAAGACAAGTACTTGTTTTTTTATTCTCGAAGTATTTGATTATAAATACAACAGTGCACGTGATTTTCAGACATTGACAATACTAAAACGTCGAAAGAGAAGACATGAGAGGACATTCAAGCAGAGCAAAAGCTAGAAGTCGGCTTTGTTGACGAGAGACAAGAGACCGGAAGTATTGCCCTTTGGAAAAAAGACTTGAAAAAGACTACTTAAAAGATTTGAAAGAGACCACTTTTGTTTTTTTTCTTGGGTTTATCAAATACTACTAAAATAGAACAGCAAAGATTCCCGCGAAAATTAACTGTCAAAACTGTTTTATTTAGACTTTCAGTGCTAGACATTACTAAAAAATTTACTGGTTCTCGTGATGTCACGTACGTGATCCTCCAATTTATTTGATGCATAGCGTAAAAGAAAAGTAAACAAAAACAAAAAAAGCTCCAAAGTCTCCGGAGAAGCATGTAAAAAGGTGTGCAAAGTCTAAGCATGGTTTGGCAGCTTCCCTCGATATCCATATAACAAGAATTCCCTCAATATTAATAAAAAAAAATTACATAAGTTGAGGAGGAGGAATAATTTACTCAATTCAACTCTCATATCTCTCTGATGTAGCTTGCAGCTACAAGCTACTGCCAAGGAAACTCTCTCTGCCTTCATTCTCCGCTCAGGTGTCTCTGCTTTGCTCTTACAAATGGTTTTGATTTACAGTTGAAGATGGCAATGAATCACCACAAATCCTCCATTAATCTGCAGTCATGATTGTAGCCTTTGTTAACTCCTTCCCTTAAGTCTTTTCTCCATCTCATCAAAGCTAGGATTTTGTGAGTTAATATTAGCATCTAAATGAATTTATTCTTCTAAATACATGAAGTTGGTACAGTTAAAATTGCTCAAAACAAAAATTAATTTTGATTAATGCATAAACTAACATCTACGATACTTATTTATTTAGTATTTCAAAGAGGTGTCTTATCACTAACTTATTAGATAGAATTAATATCTATATTCGATTAGTCATAATACTCATATATGTATTATCTATATTTGATTACTTATACTAAATATCTACGTGTCTTAAGTTTTAATCTCGAAATAAGTGTAACACAAATCCCTCCTAAATGTGGTTAACCTAAATTATATCCAATTTTTTCTAAAAATAAATCAAAATTAGAAGGTTTAAAATTCACAAAAGCTCAAAACACTTATTGTTCAATGATATGGTTTTTATAATTTTGATTTCAGTCAATCTTACCCTATGATTTCCATAAAAAGAGATTGAATCCTTTCTATTTTGAATTTAAGATGATGTTATCAATCCCCTTCTCCTATTTCATTCCAATTTTTTGTTAAAGTAAAAAATTTTAACTACAATAACAATGATCTATGTCATTGGTTGGTTAAAAAGTTTGATGGAATTAGACAAAGAGATAATTCTAAAATTAAATTGGGTTTTTCAAATTATTTAATTATTGTAATCTTTGAATATTTTTTTATACTGGAACCTACTTTTTTTTTCATATTGATTGAGTCTTTATGCTTCTTGTTTTTTTTTTTTTTTTTTTGCTATTCTCACTCCATTATAACACCTTTAGTTCGTAAGTTGATGTAACACTTTATCTTCCTAAATAAATGACACATGTCATTTATAAGTTTTAATCAAAACAACTCAAAAGCACAAGAATCAATTTATTTTTCTTTTTCCTTTTTCCCATTATTTATAATCTCATCTTGAATATGCAAAAAAAATGTCATCTATGGTACTTCATTATAGTAAAATTATAAAGAGTTTTTTTTTATTATTATTATCATCACGCGCACAACATTGAATGATAGACCTGTTTTTTAATGTATTGAAAAGTGTTGAAAAGATGGGTTTTAATTTAATTATAAACTTTTGATTATAAAATTTAGAGTCATCACCTAATATTATGATCACTAGAAAACCTAATAATCTATAAAAGTTTGGGTAATGAACTGGTTATACAAAGAGAAGATATATCACTTTCAATACATTATATTTAAGATAAATTATATTGTCGTTTAATTATTATTCTAAGTTGTGTTCCTATCTGTTGGTTTTATTTAAGATACAAAATAGATCTCAATTCATGAAAAAGTATATACCTAATTGAGTTATCTTAATCGTTTTAAGATCCAAACTTATTTATTTCTTGAATATAGCTAAGACCTAGCATTCTAGATGACAAACTAATTATAATGAGATTTTTTTGTATTTTGATCAAATCCTAATAGATAATCATAAACCAATTATGATTTTTTTTTTGTATTATTTAAAACATGATGAAATGGTAGTTTAATCCTTTTATATTAGAAAATATGCATGAAAAAACTTTAAGACTTAATTGTATGCATTAAAACCAAAAATAATTTTTTGTTTTTTGAAATGAAAGTTTATTTTTGAATTTTCAGAGGAAATCGAGTACTATTAATATCAAATCCATAACTTACAATATAAGTCTACAGCTCGATATTATATAAAATTATTTCAAAAACATGTAAGGGACTATAAATATTTTTAAAAATATCTTTTTAAAAAAATTAAAATTTTTGTAATATTATTTATTTATTATAAGTAAGCTAGACTTGGCCCAACCATTTAGGCTGAACCTAGTCAAATCGGGTTAGGATAACTGACAACCTAACAAACCCTTCTCTCTCTTTTTCTTTTTTTTAAAAAAATAATCATTAGGCTAGGCTGAAACAGGTTCAGCCCGGCTAGGTTAGGCTGGATAACTCTTCTTGTTCTTTTTTGGGTTGAACCCAGCCTAACCATCTAAACTGGGTTGAAACAGGCACAACCCAAAGCCCATATGGTTGTTGAACCAGCCCAACGACCATGTTAATTATTTTGCATTTTACATACAGAATGAGTTCTTGTTATGCATGTAAATGGCTGCAAGGGGGAAGAGTAAGATTACCTGGAATGAAGAATGGCTAGCTGGTGGTGCTGGGAAGATCGACATGTGGCTGATAGTGGCAACGACGACAAAGGAATGGCAAATGAAGAGATAAAAGCTTGGTTGGTGAAAAACCATGAGGAAAAGCTGGGTTTTTTTGTTAATTTTAGACTCGAGTTTCTTCTCCTCAAATGCCTAGAACCCGCATCTATTTGTAAGGGGTGAAAGAGAGACTTTGTATCATTATCGGAGACAAATATTAGCCTTTGATTCAAGCGAAAAAGATTTCAATTGTTGGCTCAAAATTATCATCATAGTTTATAAAAATTTGCTACTAAAGGACAAGGTTTGCCATTTTGGGGTGGCACTACAATGGCTACAAAGGCAATCAACCAGTGAGACCTATTTTCAGGGTGTAATATAATATTAGACCATTATAATGGTGTATGATTTGTCCAATTTGGTTAGGAGATGAAGTATTAAATGTTTTGAAAAGATAGTCACCCTAATAGCCTTTCCGAGTAAAAAGAAGAAGAAGATGAAAAGTAACTAGATGACTTATTATCTGGTTTTTTTGAATGGTCAAAACTGACTCTATTTTGGCTATAGGGTTTTAATTTAGGGTTTTAGTTAAAGTTTAATTTAGTCTCTCAATTTTAATTACTTTCAATTATATTTTTAATTGACCTTAAACTTCTAATTTCATATAATTTTACCCTTACTAAATTTCAACATAAGCCACGAATTTCAGAGTTTTTTTCATTTTGATACTTGATCTTGAATTTATATAAATTGACCATTAAACTTAAATTTTTCTTCAATTTCACCCTTATCTTTAACCAAATTGAATTCCTAAAAATCAATGTTATTTCCATAAAAATTACTGGCTATTAATTTTTTTAATTTAACCTCTAATTAATCATAAACTTTGATTTTTTTAATAATTTTACCTCTAATTTTAAGCAATTGGT